ATCAATGAAAGCTTCCCCCCCTCTCCCATCCCCCCAACTGATCTACTGAGTTAGTGTGGGGGACACTGGAGCACTGGTAGCAGAACTTCTACCATAAGCAGGTAAGTGGCATCCCTTGGCTTAATCAATCCCTAAAACTGGAATTCACATTACACCACTCATCCCTACTCATTGGGAACTTGAAGTAGACCAAGGGGTAACTACTCTCATTCTGCTCAAAGCAATAGGCTCTTAGTAACGTGGCAGTCACAGAATACTCTCTGACAGAACCTTCTCCATTTGAAAAAGGAATGGTGTGATGAAGTGGTAGCATGGTTCATAGTGGAAACTCTAAAGAAAGCTGTGCAGTTGGACTGCAGCATTCAGCTTGACAGATTCAACACACATCTCCTATTGATCAGGCAGCTGTTGTTTTAAATGTCCTTTGCAATGCAAGCGCTCACAAACATTTCAGACACCTGTTTAGAAGAAGCAGTCCTTCTTTTCTCACAAACAGGAGGAAATGCCTGCTCTGAGACGGTGCTTGCCATAATATACACATGCATCCTTTGAACAAAAAAAGGGCTTTCTTCTTCAGAGAGTGTTGCCAACAGGCCAGGAGAGAATATCCTATCCCTTCAACTAGGGTTGCCAGCTCTGGATTGGGAAATGTCTGGAGATTTGGGAGGTGGAGCTTTGAGAGGGCAGGGTTTGGGGAGGGGAGGGGCTTCTGCAGGGTATAATGCTATTGTGTCTACCCTCCAAAGCAGCCGTTTTGGTGTAGTGGTTAAGTGTGCGGACTCTAATCTGGGAGAACCGGGTTTGATTCCCCACTCCTCCACTTCCAGCTGCTGGTGTGACCTTGAGCAAGCCATAATTCTGTCAGAGCTGTTCTTGAAAGAGCATTTCTCTCAGAGCTCTCTCAGCCCCACCTACCTCACAGGGTGTCTGTTGTGGGGAGGGGGAGGGAAAGGAGTTTGTAAGCTGCTCTGAGACTCCAAGTGAAGGGCAGGGTATAAATCCAGTCTTTTCCTCCTCCTCTTCTTATTATGTTTCTTCTTCTTCTTCTCCAGGGGAACTGATCTTGATCATCTGGAGATCAAATGTAATAACAAGAGATATCCAGGCGCCACCTGGAGGTTGGCAACCCTACTTTAGCACAGGTGTCATGTGTGGAAATGGGCAGCTGAAGCTTTTCAGGGCATGGAGATAAACAGCATCACCTGATCGATAACATCTGTTAAAGGGATAGGGCATCTTTCTCCAGGTCTGTTGGCAACTCCATCTTCCCAGCTTGTTTTATTAACATGCAAACTGAATCAACAAACACACCGTTCATCAACTAAGATTGCCTTAATCAACGAACAGTCTAATTAAAAACACAGCTGTAACGAATTCACATGACTTCTTGTCATTCGTCACAGCAAGGGCAGGCTAAAAAGTCCTGTTTTATACCGCATGTTGTTCCATCACTCTGCTCAGCTGCACTTAACTGAGCACATAACCCTGATACCAGAGGAGGTGCCACGATCTGGCATAGTCACCAGGAAGCAGGACAGCTTACCACAGGTCTCCATCAGTCAGAGTGGAAGCAGCTACATGTTGCATCTTTCAAGGGTACATCTTTCAAGGGTACATCTCCCACACTGTTTTGAGAGCCCTGTCATTTCCAGGCACATGGTTCAGGTCAGGACTTCAGTGAGTTAGGAATGAGGGCTTAGAGATCCCCTCCTTGCCATTTTCCTGACCTCAGATGGCCCTAAGGAACCACTAGTAGCCCTGCTGGGGGTGTTCTGTGCTCCGATATGGCTATATCTCTAGAATTAACAGCCCACATCTAGGGAATGAGTCATAATTCTTGGGCTCCAAGAGTGGCGCTCGTTTCCATCTGACTGATTTGTTGCTTCTCCTCTGGCATGAGTTTACTGTGTATCGGATTTACATCCCTCACTGCTGCTTTCAGGTACTCAGACTGGTTATATTTTAAAGTTTAATGCTGTTTGAATTTGACTTAATACAGATGTTTTAATGGGTTATTGTTTGAATTCATGTATTGTTTTGCGATATGATGTGAGCCGCCCTGGGCCCGGGCAGGATAAAAATCCCAACGTTAAAAAAATATGAAAATAAATATTTGCCATTTCCCCCAACACAGCAAAGGGTGGCACCCTGCAGATATTTCAGGTCAGAAAAAATGGAGAGGGGGGGGGGAAGCACTAAGCCCCCTCCTCTCCATTCCTGGTGGTCTCAGTCCTGTGTATCTGAGAAACATAAGGTCCCAGAACAGAAACAGTCTTATTGATTCTGGGCAAAATCCAAGGATGGGGTCTACTCACTGCCACGTAGCTGAAGCCGCTTCCGATGAAGAGGTAGGGAGGGCTCTCCTCTGGGGGCTGCCTGACCAGTGCCATAGGCTCGGTGGGGCTGGAGGAGGGAGTCATGGCCATTGGTTCCACTCCCTGCCACCCTGGCTTGGGCTGCATCTCTGCTGTGCTATGGAAGGTGGTGGCAGTGGTAAAGAGGCAAAGCTGGGATTGCACTCCCAGGGCACTGCTTCCTCCCCCCAGATCCATCCTGGAAAGGTGGGAAGGGAAGAAGATCAGGCTGTGGCTGCTCAGCCACCTCAGCCAACTTGTCCACCACGGATGCTGCTGGTCTGGGCAGCCAGCTCGCTCACTCATGTGCTGCCTTGGAAGCAGTATCCAGAGTAAAGCTCTGGCATATCAGGGGCAGCCGGACCAGCATCTGGGGCTGCAGGGTAGTACCTCCCCACACACAGCCGAGGGCTCAAGTCTTATGGAAGTCTTATGCCTAAGACCATCCTTGTTCCAGAAAATGGCAGTTTAGTGTAGTAGTTAGGAGCACAAACTCTAATGTGGGAGAACTGGGTTTGATTCCCCAGTCCTCCACATGCAGCTGCTGATGTGACCTTGGGCCAGTCACATGTTATTTCAGAGCTGTTCTCTCAAGGGCAGTTCTCGAGAGAGCTCTCTCAGCCCCACCTACCTCACAGGGTGTCTGTTTTGTGGGAAGGGGAGGGGAAAGGAGATTGGAAGTTCCTCTGAGACTCCTTCGGGTAGTGAAGGGCGGGGTATAAATCCAATCTCTTCTCTTCTTCCTTTTGTATGACCCAACCCAGGGACTTAACAGAGAAAATTTAACATGTAGTTAAGTTCTCAGGTGTTTTGACTGCATTTTCTTACATCATCAGCTTACTGTGGCTGCCCAGCAGGGAATTTAGAGACCCACAAAGTATGTGTCCCTTCCCAGGAGCTGCTCTTATATGGCCTGAGGAGCAAATAGTGTAGGAAAAAGGCCTCCCCAACACCAGTCTGGATGGACCAAACACACCTCACCACTAAGACAGGAACACAAGAGGATTTCATGAGCAGGAGTCTGCTAGTTTTGCTTAGAGGTGAAGGTCATATTATCAGTTGCTTCGCAGGGAAAACTTGACCAATTTAACACACACTACTGGAAACCTGTGATTTCACAGCACACACAGCATTCTGCAAGGAAACACAGCAGAAGATGGGACCTTTTCAATCCCACCAATATCTCAGAAAAATCAATCAGAACCATTAGTGCAAATCCATCTCAGGCATTTTTAAAAAGAGAGGAGTTAGAAAAATGTAGGGAATAGTGTAGGAAAAAGCAGACTGTTTTTTTAAAGTGGAAAGAAGGAATGGAAATGTCAGAAACAGTAGCAAGATCAGCAATTTAAAGAAATGTGGAGGGGAGTCATAGTTTCATCAAGGCATTGATGGGAGTAATAGAGCTGGTTTCTGTAGGATCCATGTTTCCTTTTAGTAATATTGGGATTTGCTTGTCTTTTCAGATAAGCATAAGATCTAGGAGGCAAGCTTGACAGTGCTTCAGATTTGCAGAAAATGTCACCTGCACCCATTGTGTCATTTTCTATTTATTACGTTTTTATTCTGTTCTTCCTCCAAAGAGCTCAGAGTGAGGTACATACTTCTTTCTTCTTTTCTTTTTTGCTGTCAAGTTGCAGCCAACTTAACCACTACACTACACTGGCTCTCTACCCCTTAACCACTTAACCACTGGCTCTCTACACTACACCTGTGGCAACCACTTGGGAAACATAATATGTAGTTTGCCCCTTAGACGTGTGCACACCTCCCTGACTAAATACTTGGACTATTGTCAGCCCACAGTTGCTCCAGACCAATACCAGAACAACACTTTGGGGTACCAGTGCGGCACCCTGTCCAAGGTTCTTTCTGGCTAATCTAGTCTATAGCTCATGCAGTGAGCTGTCCAAGGTGCTGACTCTAGTCATTCACTGCATTCCTCTCTGTTCTGGTGCTGAACTGCTTTCCTGGAGGTGGTCAACCCACTGCTCTGCCCACTACTGAGTTCTGAAAGGACTGCAGGTCCTTTCCTGGCTGATATACCTCCACCCTTAGGCAGTTGCCCCTCTTTGGATATCAAATGCAGTCAGGAAGCTATTTGGAGATCAGACTCAAATGACAGCAGCATCTAGAAAGGGTTTCTCAGAGGGTGGTGCATGTTCAAGGAGACCTCAATTGGCTGACAAAATTGATCAGACATTTTGTGGCTTTAGCTAAGTAAGTGGGGTGGTGGTCTTTCTTTCAGATGGCAAGCTTAATTTACGCAAGCCAGCAGCTGAATTAACAAAAGCTTATATTGAGTTGTAGAGCTTCTAGTACTGAAACATTGATAACATGTAAATTACCATACAGATAATATAATCAAATTAGGAGTTTTAAAAAATTAGTTAACTGCCCTAATCTTAGAACATAATAAAAACCATTTCAGGAATACAGCCTTCCCCAAAATAGCAAAGAAACAAAGGAATCCAGAAAGAATGGAAGAAAACTAGCACAAAATGCAGAGAATCAAACAGAAAAAGCAAACCCTTCTTGACAACTGCAAATGGATGTGTCCTTTGATCCCATCAGGTTCAAGAAGAGAGATGCCATTCAGAAATACCACAGATCAGGGATGGGGATAGTTGTTAAATTAGGGTGCCCTACCTGGCGGGGAGGGTGCGGCTCCTGGTAACTTGGCAGGATCTTGAGTACAACGCTTCCACTGGCATTCTTCAGCACCTCCTGGAGTGCCCGTGGGTCACTGCCCACCTCCTGCCCATTCACCTCCTTGATGATGTCACCCACGTGCAGCAGCCCCTGCTGGTCAATCATACCACCATGCAGGATACGGGCAATGACCAACTCGCCTCGTTCCACCCGGAATGTCACACCCTGAGGCAAAATGAGCAAAGGAGAGCACAGAGGAAGCAGGAGGGAAATTGTACATGCTGGGTAACATCCCCTACTTGGGTATGGAGTTAGGCTGCTGCTTCTTAACCTGCCAGCCTACCGGGAGTATGCGTACCTCATTCAACAAGATGTGAACAATATCCAACTACAGAGGGTTCGAAGAGGCTATCAGAGAGAAAGTGGGATCTCATCAGACTTCCCCAACCTTCCACATAGCTGTCAGCCTGGCCTCTTCTCCCAAGATGCTCAGCTGGGGGTTCCACAGAAGTCTCTGGAGAGAAACTGGTTCTCTTCAGAACTATCCCAGATTTCTCCAAGTTTTGAGAAGAGCACATCTATCTTGGAGAATGTCAGGGTGTGGAATTATGTTTGCTATGTGTGGACCCCTCTTGAAGATTCCTCAAGTGCTGAAAGAAAAATAGGCGTTCGAGTGAACCGATGTTGCAGGTCTGTTATGCCCACCAAAGTTGTTGCCATATTTGAAGAAAAAGAGGAAATAAAGAAATAAATAACATAATTTTGTCGCTGCTGTCTGTTTGTTCCTCTTGCATATTAGCTAGGGCACCACTTCTGTTGTAAAGGAGTTTATTGGATCTAACCTGAATACTCATGAAGAGATTCGGTCAGACCATTTGACTGTCAAGGTCAGCTTTTTCTGCTCTAATTGGCACTGGCTTTCCAGAGTCTCAGGCAGAGATCTTTCACATCACTTACTACCAATTTCTTTTAGTAGGGATTGAACCCAGGACCTTGTGCATGCAAAATAGCTGTTCTAACTCCAAGCCGTGGTCCTACCAAACTTGTCACGAGAAAATCCTGGGACACACAAAGATTCTTCCGTGGAACACTGTGGAAGTTTCAGTTCCCTATTTGTTTAACCTAATGGCAATCAACAGCAAGCAGATATACAATTTTTGAACCCACAGAGTTTATTTGATTTTGGCCCTTGATGGGGAATACTATTACAGACTTCTGCTTCTTTGATATTGCAAGTTGGGTTTCCATTTTTTTAAAAATCCACATGTCCATTTATTTCTTGAAATGTTATTTTGTTGCCCTTATTTAAAACTTTTACAGAGCCACAAAAAAGTCCACCTGCTGCCATTTGACATCTTTCTCTTTGACAAAACTGTGATGTACAACCTATTAATTACATGCAAGCAAAATGCTACAAGTGAGACACACTGTGTCACTAGATCATACGTTCGCTTAGAATGTAGGAGGAAATATTTCATATCGCTCAATCATCCTTTGTAACTTGGTTCCCTATTCTGAACCAAGTGCCACAAATATGTATACAGTGGTAAGAGTTGGTCAACCCTGTGACAAAGAGAGCCAGCTTTTACTACCTGGATAAAATATGCAGAGAAAATAACCAAGTTCTTGTGCTCCTGCTATCCTAGGGGAAAGACAAGGACAAAGACTGCTACACCCTTTTACCCCTGCAGTGTCTGCCAGCTCCTCCAGACATACCAGACACCAATATGGCAACAAGCTTTTAACAGAGTCCTTCTCCAATTCTAGATTAAGGAAACAGGAAAGCAATTTGGGTTAAAGTCTTTTCAAAGGAGAAATGACCTGACCAGGGGTCATTTGGGGAGGGATGCGGGGGGACGCCATCCCCCCGGGTGAGGTGCGGGAGGGCGGGGCCTGGAGCTCCCTGCTGGTGCCCGCTGGAGGTCGCCGCCGGCTGTGGGGAGGACACACTTCCGGTGATGTCAGGGGGTGTGGCATATGCTAATGAGTTATGCTAATGAGTCCCCCTAGCTCTTTTTCTACGAAATGACCCCTGGATCTGACTTGTGCTGTGGGGCAAGGAATGATCATTGCACACAAGGCTGCTTTCAAGATGGCTGAACCCTGTTCAACCATACAGTTATCAGAGGAGGTTTACTCACCAGGTGTTCCCCGGCAGTCTTCCGAATCCCCACCATGCGCACGGCATCTGGGGGTACTGGCTGGTTGTTGAACAGGGGGTCCAGCGCAGGACTGGGTGGTGGAGTCTCGTAGCTCTTGGAGGCAACAGAATCGTGAGTCTCCAGGAGGGACTGAGAAGAGGGTCAACAGAGGGAGGGGAAGAGAAAAGGAGACCAGGGGGAAGAAAACGATATGGGGGTAGGTCAAATTAGTTCAGAGACAGATATTTGTTTATTATTTATTATTATTTATTATTTTATTTTTTAGATTTATATCCCGCCCCATCCAATATTCAGCTCGGGGCGGCTCACAGACGGCCATGCTGAAGTTAAAAATATACATACAAACAACACATAATAAAACACTATATCTTAACATAAAATTTGGTGCTCAGATAAATTACATAAAATCCAAGATAGGCGACGTCCCACAATGGCGGCCAAGTTCTTCACAGCTCTATTGGGTGGCATCTACCCCTACATATGGGGTAGATGGTTGGAATATCATTGGTGGCATGGTGGTGGCATACTGATGACACCCCAGCCCACACCTCCAGGCAATCTGGGCAAGGGGGCGCATGTAGATGTTAAACAACATCAGGGACAGCCCCCCCCCCCCTGAGGCAGCCCACATTCAAGGGAGCGCCTCCGGGACCGCTGCCCCCCCACCGCCACCCTCTGTCCCCGACCTTGGAGAAAAGAGGTAAGCCATAGAAGGGCCAGCCCCTGAATCCCCACGTTGGCGAGGCGGCTGGCCAGCAACTGGTGGTCGACCATGTCGAACACCACCAACAGGTCCAACAGCACCAGTGCTGCCACGCCGCCACGATCCAGATGCCTACGGAGGTCGTCAGTCAGCGCGACCAGTACCATCTCC